ACTGCACCTGGACTTGTTTTCCTGTTATCTAAGTCTCTGTGCTTTGACACACACACAAGCATTTTAGAGAAGGAGGAATACCTGGCACTACCTGTGTGTGCATGAAATCAGCTATTTTACTTGGCAGCTGTTTCTTCTAGACCAACATCTGACCATAACCTTGGTGTAAATCTTAGTATCTTATCAAATCCCAACTCCCCTGGTTTCAAGGCTCAGAGGGAATAATGAGCTCTTTAGAAAAGGCAACAAATCTAATGAAAGCCGGTGGGACGATTAGACCTTGGAAAGCCACTCAGTGCACCAGACTTTTAATCACAAGAGCCTGCAATATCACACAAGTTTTCAGTGTCTCCTACAGAAACTTATTTTCTCTTTATTTTAGTGAACATATAATTGGGTGAAAAGTAACTACATAAACATATCTGTGACATGTAAGTATGTATACTTATGTGTGCTATAAAATAAAACCATTCATAAGTGCGTAAAATGAAAATCACCCTAACACCTAGCACCTCGCTTTGCTACTTCCTGCTCAACAATATTCACCTCTTCCCCCCTTCTTTCCCTCTCATTGTCCTCATTCATCAGTTCCTCAAAATACTCCTTCCATCTTCTCTGCACACCGTTATCTCTTTGTTGTAGTTTCTAATTGATATTTTTTAAAATAAGCATTTGTGCAGGGTTCTTTCTCTCCAGCCATATACTCTAGGTATTTAAATTTGTAGCAAGATGTGCATGAAAAGAATGCCTTACCTGCTTGTAATGGTAAAATTCTAACTACATTTATATAAAACTTTTCTCATTCACACACCCTCTCATACACTTGCACTCCACAGAAACCTACCATGCAAAGCAGGGGTCTCTTACCAAACAAAACAACAAAAATACAAACAAAACCATGAAAACAAGCAACGGAAACTGTAAAGATACAACAATATTTAAGATGAATATTTCATTTATTGAGTCTTTGTTAATTCTAAACTTGGCATTGTCCTTTAAACATCCACAATAAACATTCAGTATGGAAAAAATGCCACGGCCCGTTGTAAAACAAATGAACAACTTGAAAGAAACAATTTCCCTTGAATACCAAAATATGACAAGTGTGTTTTAGAGAGGTACACTGAATAACATTTCAGCTTTCCCAGTGTATGCAAATCACATTTAATAATTTAATCATAAAACTCTTAACTGTATTTACCAAGGGCATATGAAGCCCATTTATGACTTCAATAACAATCAAAGAGAAAGTACTTCTACAACAGTGTCCTGAAGACTTAAAGTCTTTACATTCTCAGAGTCAGACATATATATATTATATATGCGTCTGCTAAGGAGTGTGGTTAATTGTGAAGTAAAAAAAAACATTAACTGTTATTTTAAGACTAAATATCTCCCCAGTGAATCTGCTATTTGATGTCAAACTAAAAATTGTTACTAAAGCAGTGGTCATAAGGTGCATGCCTTATAATTTGAAGTTATAACTATTTTTAGTGATACAATTTTTAAATTTAAAGCCATAAAAAGCAAAGAGAATAGACAGTGACACTATCTCAACAGGTGAATATTTCACAACTGAGATGATACTCATCTTGGAGGAAAAAAATCATGCCTTAGTAATTTGTAATCAATACTTGTATAATTTTTTTGATAACCAAGAAACCAACTGAAATAACTACAAAGTCCCTTGGCTTTTCCATCACAGAATCAACGTTAGCGCACCTCAAATATACATGTATTTATGAGGAGATAAGAAAAAAACATTAAAAACTGAATTCCAAAACTTTGCCTAACATTACCACCAGTTGTGTTGTGCCTGTTTTAGGGATTCCACTCGTATGGCTCAAAAGGTGTGAAAAGAGGACTTCATTTTTGAATTTTTAGTTCTCCATGGAGTCCAGGAACTCTTTTTCAGTGATGTGCTCCAGCCTCTTCAGGACTGCATCTGAATTAGCTGCTGAGTAGTGGGGCATAGGGTAGCTGTAGGATGTAGGCCCCTGGAAGAAGCAGCAAAGGGTGCGAAGGAAAGGGAACAGTTGGGTGATGGAGGACAGGGAGTGTTGAGTGAGGAGGGGGAACTCCAAATTCTCTGTGGAAGATTCCTCACTCAGTCCATTCATTGTCTGTAATAACAGGAGAGGACATGATAATCCATAAAAGTGATGCGATCATTCAACCAAACAAAACTTGAATGAATAACTTATCTTTGTTAATTTTCGTATAAATAAAATAGACAAAAACCAAACAAATCCCACACATTGCTCATCACTTGTACTCTAGTTTTGGTCCACAGACCTTCAGCAGTTTGGTCCAGTTTTTTTTTTATAAACCTTTTTAATGTATAGTGGGCTGTGGAGAAGTGAACAGGCAACAGAGACATAACTATGGGAGAGACATGAGACAAATATCGGCAGTTGGACTCAAACTGCAGATGTCGTGAATGCAATGTGCATATATAAACTGCTCAAAAAAATTAGAGGAGCACATGATCAAACAGTATAACACCAAGCCAGTTAAGGATATTAATCTATCCATTAAGGAAATACCAAGGACTGGGAATCAGTTTCGCCTGTTTTGGTCCAAATGAATGTGACAACAGGTGCAATGGAGAGGAAAAGCAGGATGACCCCTGTAGTGGGAATTTATATTGGTATCCTTCTTATAGTATTGACTGTTGCTATTCTATGCAGTTATTTGTGTGCTTGTGACACGACAGTTGACTGTATCAGCATGTTTGTACTGATAAGCATGCCTTTCTGCGAATGCTGAACTAGATAACCAGTATCCTGTTTCCTTTATCTGTTTGAGCCTCTGTCTTCTGTTATTGTATGCTGAGTATAAGAAGGGTGGTCACATTCTGTTCACTAAGCTTCTTGTTCACTGAGCTTCTTCCCTCAGACTGCTTTGACATCCTGTGTAGAGACTGCTCCTTTTCTGCAGAAAATAATTGTACAATAACTTTCAGAGTTGATGTTAAGTCTTTATTTTACACTCATCAAGCTTAAATAGATAATTTTGCCACAAGAAGGTTTGCTGTGTCCCTCCATGAGCCCTACAAAATGGCCTCTGGCAGGCTGCTAGTGTGTACATTTCTGATCAAACTGTCAGAAACAGACTCCATGAGGGTGGCGTGAGGGCCCGACATCTTCTAGTATGACCAGTGCTTACAGCCCACCACCGTGCAGCTCAGCTGGCATTCACCAGAGAACACCAGACTTGGCAGGTCCACCACTGGCGCCCTGTTCTCTTCACAGTTGACAGCAAGTTAACACTAAACAGATGTGACAGGCATGAAAGTCTGGAGACATCATGGTAAACGATATGCTGCCTGTAACATCACTGAGCATGATTGGTTTGGTAGTGGGTCAGTGATGGTCTGGGGAGGCATATCCTTGGAGGGCTGCACAGACATCCATGTCATAGCCAGCAGTACCCTGACTCCTGTGAGGTACCAGGATGAAATCCTCACACTGTCAGACCTTACGCTAGTGCACTAAATCCAATTGAGCACCTATGGGAATTTATGTATAGGTGCATCTGACGCCACCAAGTATCACAGACTGTCCAGGAGCTCACTGATGTCCCAGTCCTGGTCTGGGAGGAGATCCCCCAGGACACCGTCAGGAGCATCTTCAGACGTTGTCAGGAGTGCATACTGGCACGTGGGGAGCAGACACACGTCTGAGTCACATTATGAGTTGCCATGATGAAATTCATGCAACATGGTTGAGCCAGTGATTGGGTCGATGATTTTGGTCTCCACTGACCATTGTTATGCCATTTTGTTCTGAACTACTACAATGTACACTAATAAACATTTTCAACTTGAATAATTCATTCAATAAAATCTGATGTGTGATTTAAGGTTCAGGTTTATCCTTGTCACTGTTTTAGTCTCAACGTGGTCTTGGTGAGAATGCATGAAAAGGCCCCATTTACATCTGATATGTATCTGGACAATGACATCTGAATAATGAACATTCTTTTTATCTTACTGTGTTGATCTTGTTTGTGCCAGCAATGTAATAGTGTCTCAATACATAAATGAATTAAACAGGACTGGCTGACCTGCCAACAAGGCAAGGCAACTAACATCCCGGTAGTAGCTACTCATCATCATCAAACACTAAAGCCATGTTAAGTGGTCAATCTCATAACTTAGACAGTGATTTTGAATAACTGAACTGTTGACTTAAGTTTGAGATGTCCCCTGGTTAAAAAATATTTTCCATGAGCATAGAATTACTAGCAATTATTAAAATGACCATTCCAGAGAATACACTTTTACATGTAAATGACTATAATTTTGAAGTTTACTGTTCCAGCTGAAGTATATTTTTACCCCATATCGTT